AGCAGGAAGAACAACAACAGGCTCCTCTAGAAGCCAGCTAAGTGAGTTGTTTGAGCAATAAACGTTGTACGCAGTGCATTACGTCGTCAATGAACGGTAACTTAGTTGTGACGCGATGGGAAACCGCCATGTAGCGTTAACGGAAAAATCATAAAGTTTGTCGTCAAGAATTGAATAATAATGGTCATGTTGATTGAATATAAGTGTGGGAGAGCCATGCTTCGGCACAAATGGGCCGGCTCGACCGAAGTGATACGACGGCCTCACAGAAAACCGACGTGAAACAACTCTTGTATTGTGTTTCGTCGTGTGAGTGAGGTTACCGAAGGCCAAATTACCCTCCTCCCTAGTCTACCGAATCTCCGAATCCTCCACAATACGTAAATTCCCAATTCCCAAAAGACCGGTAACGCACTTGTAACGCCTTGGTGTTTTGGGTGTCCATGGGCGGCGCCGATTGCTTACCATCAGGTGATCCGTCTGCTCGTTTACCGGCTTATGTTGAATGGAACAACAACACAAATAGAATTTATACATAGAACTGAACAGTAATTTACATAAACTTCGTAATATTTTTTTTATAATTCCTCAAACCAAATTATTCAAATTTTCTAATCAATTCACTTTTTTGCTAACCGTGCCACTCGCGGGCCACTCTAGCCCTTGTCGCCAAGATACAATGAAATTACGGAGACGGCTTTTTAGCGGGCCACGAACCATAATTTAGAAATGACCGCTTGTTTTGCTGACGGTACCAGTACATTGGGTTTCGAAGTCCACTATGCTTTTAACTTCATCCCTGTTGTTTTAAGGCCTTTTAATGTAGTTTTAACGTCATAGTTCAAAAGTGAAGGCTTTTAGGTCCATTTTGAAATATGAAAGGAATTAGGTAGTGTTTGATTTTAGGGATATTTGGATCACCTTTATTATTTAAAAAAAAATAACAGTTTAAGAAATTCGACATTCGTACTCGTACGTCGTTTATTTTATTTTTTTATTATGAGTAAAGATTTATTATTATTCCATATATTTATTTCAAAATTCTCTATAAAATACATTTTTAAATACTACTTATAAAGACAAAAATAATATTTAAAAATATAAAAAATAGGAGCCGACCAGTAGCGGGAGCATGGTCCAAGCTACCGGTGGTTAGGGCTCCAGAGACAGAAACCTCCTCACGATACGTGCCGTTTCAAGGAGAACTGCCTTCTGTATCAGGCCCTTGACCCAACTACCTAACGCTAGCCTCCTAAGGTGGTTGTCGAGGCTATTAGGGATTAACCCATTGGCCGATACGACTATCGGCACAATGATAGCCGAATCTACATTCCACATGTCGACAACCTCGTGAGCCAAATCAAGATATTTGATTTGTTTATACGAGCGCATGACGTTCTCATTTATGGTTTGAGACCATTTCATGCGCCGCACACAACCACCGGTAGCGGGGACCCGTCCCGGGGCCTGTTGGCCCCTGGCTCCCAAGCCCGTCGGTGGCCGGCCTCTCCCCGGCCGACGTACAGGTGTCGGCGACGTCGGCGGGGAGAAATAGTCGTCGCTCGAGCTCGACGCAACTGCTGTCACCGGTGATCCTGCGGGGCTGGGGTCCGGCGACGGCGAGGCGGAGCTGAGCGACGAGTCCGGAGGTGGTGGGGGTGCGCCTTGTTTGCTTCTGGCTCTCGTCAACATCATAACATTTTAATTTTCTGTTTCATATCTTCCTTTTGTAGTCTGTCATTGTCAAATTTCATTTTTCTTCATTTATTGTTTGTTTATTGCTATTGTCGGTGTTGATTTTGCAGTAAGTATATATTATTATAAAAAGGTTTTGTTATTATTATTATATTTATTGACAAAAATAATATTTTTTTTTGTCCTGCGTTAGGGATCAAACCCAAAACTGTGCACGGTAGTTATTAATAATAATTTTTAAGTCTTTGCTGCTTGAAGAGTAAGTATGTTCAACAATAAAGGTAATACAGAAAATTCTACATTTTCATACACGTTTTCATAACCATAACATAACTGAATTTCATAAAAAGCCGTTAGTGCACTTCCGTTCTAGCAGGCTGACATCACATATTCGCGCACTGAACATCAAAGAACTTTAAAAACATGTTAAAGTGCTGTAATGCAACCAACTTACTGAAGACAAGTGGCGACGGTTCGCCGGAAGTTCACCCGCAAACAATATGGCTGCCGGCCACTTCCGCCCGCCGAGTTTCCGCCTTCAGGCCACAAGCGACATTAATAACTTTTCAAAATGCGTAACGTTGTTTAAAAATAGAAATCTGTTCGCATTGGCTTTGTTAACTTTTAACTGACGGTTTATTGTTGACTGAAGTTAACGCTAAGTTAGTTAAGGTTAACGTGGTTATCTAGAGGATGTATACAGTTTATTTATTTGGAAATAAATCTATTAGAAAATAATTTTAAGTGGAAGAGGAACTCATCACTAGTTTCGCTAATTTAAATCTTATGAGGCTTATTAAATAGAGTTTTACGTTGAGTTGCAGTTCAATCTTTCAGTCAGAGTAAGTTTTTCAATTGCGAAATTCAGGGTCAACCTTTTTCTGCGTGTGGCAACACTTACATTTCTGGTTACGTAGTTAATCCAAATATAACTAAGGAAAAGAGAGCCAAAAGTGACTCATACCTTCTCCTGCGTAGAATGTAAGGCATGTTCTATTTCTATCTATGAGTTTATGAATCATACTAAAAATAAAAATATATAACCAATAAGCATTAGCACCACCCATAACTTATAATGCACTGCCATTAACAGAATATTATACAATACACAGGCTACGCCGTAGCGCTACTGCTACGACGTAGCAGCGTAGCGGCGTAGCAGGGGCCCTTTCCGGAAGACACGGGGGGCTGGGAGGTCTGGGGGGTTGCAGACAGCGGACACATCCGTGGCAGGGACATATGTATCGGTGGTGCTTCCTCTCTGAATGTTTCATGGGTAATCTACCGCCAGATACGGGCGAAGACGTGTTTTGTGTATGGTATACGACTTCATAAATTGTTATGTGGTTTTGTTGAGGAGTTGCGTGTTTGTTGTGGGTTGATGAGAGACCTGTTTTTGGACTGGAGGACTACATGATCTATTTATTACAAAATCATATCAATCAAAACAGGGACTAGACAGGTTATAAGTAGTTTATGATTGCCCATTTCTCTAATTACACTTACCTCAGTTTATAATTATGTTATAAGCAATTAACTACATTGTCTTTAACACTGTCTTTTTCTAGTGCATAACCCCAGTTTATCTAATGATATTATTTACCGTAGTCGTCAGTGTGTTCACATATTAACAAAATCACTTCTTCAACTTCAATGTGTGATTAACTCCATTCATACATATTATAGTATTGGTAATGTGCAGGAATCTAACCTGCTACAGTCAGTCGCTATTTTAACGGAGTCATTTTTGTCAGATAATTAAAAAAAATACAGAAGTTTTTTTTATATGTCGAAGCATGCGCTCTATAGACCAACTTATATGTATGATGCAGATCTATTCAGTTTTGTTATTGGTGCAAAAATAAAACAAATCACTTATGTTAAACATTTTATTATTGAACTCATAAAGACAACACAGGCATCTAACTACTACATTTAATTCCATAGGTACATTACAGTTACTTACAATAATCGTATAGCTATTTATATATTTTTTACCAAAATTTAACAAAAACACTTTTACTTTTTACCTATTTTTAGCTTCACATTTACCGGAGTTTTGATATAGACATCATTTTTAATTACGATTACATATTTTCCAATTTCTATATCTACCTTTTTTATTTATATACCAATCTAGTCATAAGCCCTTTTTAAATATATTATGTTACATGTAAAGCAAACCAAAGTCATTTATATATTGTATTAATAAAAATTGTACAAGCTATTACAGGTTTGTAATTTTATATTAACCCGCACTATTCCAAACATGTTTCTACTGTTATATATTATATAATATGGTATTGTTGTTCATTTTATATATTTTCATATATTAATATCGCATATACCTACCTTTTACCTTTTTTATTTAAGCCTTACACTCGTATAATTGCGATAAATACACTTAAAAGTGTGGACGAATTTATGATACTTCTTTTTAATTATAAATTGGAAATAATGTCGTATATACAATTCCTATATACAATAATAAGTTCTACGTATAATTTCTATATATTTATAGTACAAGATTTAGTAGTACGAAGCGTTTGTTAAATTTTGTATATTGCTTAATTTTAACAGTTAGTATCGCGGAAATATTGTCTACACAATTGACGGTTCATAATTATTATTTTTAGGTCTAATTATATCTTTCTTGCTTTTTATTTTTCTTTAACCATGTCTATTATCTGTGTTTTTCTCTACGTTTTGAGACAAATTGAAACTATACAACCTTGAGGACTTTTTGGTTCTTTTAAAAGTCCCTACATTTTAGTTACAACAGACACAAGGCTACTTCATACATTTCTAAGTAGCAATGATACAGTTTCGCTAGGAATAGGTATACTTAATTTACTTAATCTAACATTTAAGCAACCGAGGTGCCTTGGCTGCCTCGTTACAAGTTTGCCTCATCAAGAGTAATAATTGCACAGAATTTTATATGAGCCATAAGTTTAAAATACATTTTTGAACGAACCAATTGTGCGCCCTATTTGCAGTGCATTTTTTATTTACATGAGCAAATTTAGCATCAAGAGCTTTGTGATATATTATATTATATAAAAGCAATAGTATGACTTTTGTACGTTATCATATATATAATTGTAACATATTCAGCGTTATATTTAGTGTTATATACAAACGAATGTGAATTCACTAATCAATATTAACTGTACTTTGATGAAACTAGATAAAAAAAAAGAGAGATGAAATTAAATGCAGTAAATTAAACATATGTACCTCTATATTATATTATTAATTCAATTTTGTTTGAAATAAAATATTTATTTAAGTAATATTTTGTTTTAGTGTGATTATTTATTTATTCCTCATCTAGGTAGCTACATATTATTATATGTTTTTGAAAAATATTTAATTGTGTGCTAAAGATAAGTCGTCAACGCTTCGGTACCGCAAGCTGTGCTCCTTCGGCCATTGGGTTGCTGTGGGGAAAATAGAATTCATGTACTAATTTTTCTTATGATATTGCATACTATCGGAATAAAAGTCCATCGGAAATCTTTGTGTTTCCAATTAATTTGTATACATCTCTAATTAAAATACGTTAATATACATACTGTCATACATAATATTGGAATTTGTTTCTTTATTATGATGATTTTTTCAAAGTTCTGTATCTGTATTACATTGTTAAAATAATGTGATTGGCAGCATCAAATGATTGAGTTTTAAAATAAAATTTTGAGTTTGTGTAACATGTTGAGCTTACAAGAAAATAAAACTATAAAAGACAGTATAAAATGTATTCATACATTACCTGAGGTCGTTGTTCTTTCTAGTAACGTTAGCTACACTTGCAGATGTCATTGTACTAGTCAATGTCGTACCGTTTCCTATTGTTTCACTAGGAACGGACAATAGGGTCTCTGATCCTTCTAAGATTAAATAAAAACATAAAATAAAATAAGAATATAGCAACAAAAATAATTGCAAAATGCATGCAAAGGATTACATAATAAAAAATATAAAACAAATCAATGTAGCACATACAATCAAAGTACCAAAACTACGTATAGAACTAATATATATACAAGACATGACACGATAGAAACAGGATGTTGACTACAGTCTATATTTACCAAAAAAACTTTTAACATAACTGATATAATAGGGATAATGACAGGGTAAGAAAATTAAAAATGTAATTAGTCCGTCAGTTAGATAATGAAAAAATATTAGACACGTATTTTTTTATTTTGTCATATAAGACAACGGTACTAAGATAAAAGGTAGTTTAGGAATGAGAGGTAGCTACGTCATTTTAGAGTATAAATCGTAGGTCCTCAAAACTATTCGTTTCCGTAAGAAAATAAAAAATACGTGCCTAATGTTTAATAATATAATAATCTATCAGATGGATATTAAATTAAAAATTAGCCAGTCATCTACCCTATTGTATGGCCTACCATAACCAACCCTCCTTACAAAATTACAATGCGTGAATTTAAAGCTTTACTTCAATATTTAGCTACTACAATAAAAATATAATTATTTAAAAAAACAATTAACTAACAAAAGCATTGCTATCTACATTATTCACACATACAAATTAAACTATACCTATTTCTGTGACATTTCTTTGGTCTATCGACTCTATCGTGCCTTTTGCATGCAACACTTTTTTTGGAACGACGTTTGTGGTGGTACCGTGCTGAAAGTTCAGTAAAATTGTGGTAGAAGTGGAGATAGAAATGTTTGAAGCGTTAGTTTCATTCAGTGTATTGTTGTTCCGTATTAACTTGGTATGATAAATATTGTTAGAAAGTTGGTAGTGAGTAATATGATAACCGAATTGACAATTAAGTAGTTATTTTTTAAGTTTTTTTTGTTATAATATTATTGAAGGTGTCTAAAAGAAAGTGAATGTTTTTTTTCATATATCGTTTTATTACAGTTAGACGATTAAAATAGTTTTAGAAAAATGTAAAAATCAGTAGGTAGTGTAGTCGAATCAAATAAGTTTTGCTACTGAAAATGGTTTGTAACATTATTTTTGTTGAATTTAATACTATAACAATTATATTTAAAGTTAAAAACATATTTTTAACGCCTGAAAATCTATACTAATATTATAAAGCTGAAGAGTTTGTTTTTTTGTTTGAACTCGCTAATCTCCGAAACTATTGATCCGATTTGAAAAATTCTTTCTGTGTTGGATAGCCCATTTATCGAGGAAGGCTATAGGCTATAAAATATCACGTTACAATTAATAGGCGCCGAGCAGAGCGAGTGAAACCGCGTGAAAGTAGCTAGTACTTAATATGCCTAAAAGTCAATACGAAACAATAAATGTTATATAGGAACTTCGTGCTGTAAAACCTGTTTTTATTATTGTTTGTGCATGCTTCATTCTAGAGAACCAAGATGCTTTATTAAAAAGGAGTGCAATTAATTGTTATTTACGAAAAAATATTTGTAATTACCTGTATAGTGCATATTTCGGTACATATCTGGACAATTGCTTGAACCCTGTAACAAAACAAAATAACTATATAGTTAACACTTTTCATTCCGAAGGTGTACACTTAAAATGACGCACGCACTTTTACTATTAATGTTATGAAGCCTATGCCTATATAAACTAGGCATATCATACTTCATGATGCTGATACATAACATCACGCGTCTTACCCTCGAAGGGGTCAGCAGATGTGCACATTACGGCACTTAATACCACTGTACAATATAACACCCACTTTTCACTATTTATGTTATGAGTCCCATGTAATAGCGTAAGCCTATTGCTATATACCGGGCTCAATTCTAGACTCCGTACTACTACAGAATTTTTTTTTAAAAAACCTAGTCGTACGTTGACGGACCCGGGAATTACACCCGAGACCCCTTGACAGTCGCACTTGCGATCACTCGGCCAACGATGCTGAGCATATTTCAAAAAATTTAAAGAATACTTCTCCTGACCCGCTAAAGGCCTGAGACCTGCTCAGTTTTTACACTAACAACTATTTTAACACAAATAAACTATAATTTTTATAGCAACGACAAAAATAAGTTAATTCATATATTTTACAACAATCGGTTCTGAAACTGCTAGTTGATTAAACGCGTCGTGTCCAAACGTAAATTGTTTTACTCCGTGCAGTAGGACAACTACTCTTAGACCGGGATTTGTTTAAGATTTATTACGGGCCATGCAATTTGGTACTGTTTTAGTCTGCATGTTGCTACTCGAAATATAAGATAAATCGTATTTTCCTCTGTAAATGTATTCTGTTATTATTGCAGTCTGAATTTCAAGAGGTCAAAGTCAAAGTCAAAGTCAAAATCATTTATTTCAATTAGGCCAGAATGGCACTTTTGAACGTCAAAATAAAATTAATATTAAAAGTGAAGCTATTTGCTCATTCCAAGGTGTAGATTCCTATGAGTCTGGAATTCCGTCCAATGAGCACCTTAGAACTACATCATTTTTCCCGATTTTAGTTAAATATTAAAGAAGTTAAAGATATTTAGTTTTCATCTTGCCCGATACAAGGATTTTCTCCTGTGTGATGTGTGCATTTACAAATATACGACTTCACACATCTCACTCAGAACTTGTGGAACAGAAACAGGTGGGTCATATTATGGTGGTGGATTGACTTAAACGGCTTGTTTTTTTTTATAATAACATAACATAACGCCTTTTTATCCCTGAAGGGGTAGACAAAGGTGCACATTTCGGCATTTAATGCCACTGTATAATGTAACACCTACTTTTCACTATTTATGTTATGAGTCCCATGTAATAGGGGGTGAGCCTATTGCCATATACCGGGCACATTAACAGACTCCGTGCTACTACTGAGATTTTTAAAAACCCAGTAATACTTTGCCCGACCCGGGAATCGAACCACTTGGCCAACGAGACAATCTTCTTTATATTAATATAATTTAATTAATGCAATTTGGACAGAGCATACGTCGACTTTACACACCAAAGTATGAAAGTCACGCAGAATTGTTCCGTGCAGGAATTTAACCTGCGATACTTTGCATGGCAGCCGGTTACCCAGGACCCAGATATAGCGACCACCATGCAACATTTCCATTCCACAAGTTGATATGTACATTCATAGCCAATACTAAATTCCCAAAATGCTACCCAACCAAAGCTAAACTGTACCAAAAATAATCACAGGCATCCAACTACGGATCTCGGTATTCGCATCACTAAACACTGGGACATAACTCACTGAGCCACGAAGTCTTATCTCCCGACACTACCTTTGAGTAGAAATAATATCATCATAGGTTTTAAAAGATATGAGTGTCTAGTTAAGTGGATGTAATTGCGATTACGGAGCAAAGTAAACAGGCTACACATTTGACAGAGACCGGGCAAGAGTGTTCTTCGATAAACCGACACTTTCAAACTATGACGTCAAATTTGCCTGTCAAAACGGCCTAATGTAGACGAGGTAGTATTGCTTAATTGTGCAGTGTTGGGTGAAGAGAACTGAGGAAGAGATCTCTTTGTCAATTTCTATATAGTGGGTTATAAGTACGCTTTTTCCCAATTCTCATTACAACTTATGCAAGTGCAGAAAGAGTAATCAACCTTAACCATTATTATAACATAACATAATAACATAACCCGAAGGGCATTTTAGGCAGAGGTGCACATAGAAGTAACACCCACTTTTCACTATTTATGTCATAAGTCCCATGTAATAGAAAGTGAGCCTATTGCCATATATCGGGCACAATTACAGACTCCGTGCGACTACTGAGTTTTTTTTAAAACCTATTAATACTTTGTCCGACCCGGGGATCGAACCCGAGACCCCGTACCCGGCTTTCGCCCGCACTTGCGACCACTCAGCCAACGAGGCAGTTAGCAGGAATAATATTACGACGGAATAAGAAAAATATTGACAACGATTTTCCACATAAGCAAAGCCCTGACCTTTGTCTCATTTATACTCCTTGGTTTAGTAATACAAACGCACAAGTTCAAACTCTGTGTATATAGTTATTTGTTCACTTTGTGATAACCTGCTTTTTATTGTATAAATGTATTATACTAGCTCTAGTATTCAGTTTACAGCTTATTCTCGCACTGCATTGTAACGTATTGTTGTATTCAGAATTCCTAATTCTGTTATATCAACAGAGGTACCTCCCGATGTAAAGGATTATATTAGATGTTCACTTTAAAAATTGTATTATCTATGTGTAGGCAAGTAAGAAACTTTTTAGAAATAAAAAAAAACAAATCATAGTTTCAGCCACCGATGCATTCATGGAGAAATATTAATTTTCATTATTTTTATTTACATGATCAATATCAATAAAATAGGATTATAAAGACGAGTTTCAATTGTTTCTGACTAACACACGAAAGGTCATATCATTTAGTTAAATAATATTATCTCTTAATTATTATGTTCGGCTTACTCCCGAGGAACTAGACTAGTTTCAAGACATGCTAGAGACTCATAATCATGAGCAGCAGTCCTCGACAATCGCCACATTGCGAGTCGCGTAATGCTGCTCATGAATATGAGCATCACAATAATAAATTTAGTACGTTTTTTTTAAATAACATTGCTCACATTAGTATTTTCTCCCATGTCGTGGGTGCGTTAACAAATATACAAGATCATATACGCATGACACCCAGATTCGAAACAACAATTTGTGGATCAAACAAACGGTTGTCCAGCCACCGCATCAACCGTGCAATAGAATCGATGTCTCTCGAAAGTTATAATATAAATATAATATTATCTCTGTCTACCTCTTCAGTTAGACATAATTTATGTTTTTAAACTTTTTGGACACTGAAACTCTCTTTCCCTCACCTGCAATCCTTGTTTGTTGAAGTTGATGTTAGTCCTGACCGTGCGATGGTGTAGTGGCTGCACAGGACGGGCATTGTTGCCCAGCGGTGCTTTAGGAGTCAACTGCGAGCCTTGCATCAGCTGACGGAGGGCATACATCTGAAAAACATAGAAAGTGGTAATACTATGTCATAATCCATACTAATATTATAAATCGGAAAGTAAGTTTGTTTGTTTGTTCTGCTTTCACGTCGTAACTACTAAACCGATTGCTTTGATTTTTTGCAGACGTAAAGTTAGAAGTCCAGATTAAATAATAGGGTACTTTTTATCGCGGAAAAATTGATATTTCCGAGGGAAAACAAAAGTATTGGTATAGATGGCGCTGAGTGTATTGGTCTATGTCACGTAGGCTACTTTTTATCCTTTTGTGACGCGAGCGAAGCCGCGGGTAAAAGCTAGTATCTTCATATTTGTGGACTGGCAGTTAACAAGGACTTACCTGTATATACTTAAAGTTAAGGTTTAAACAGTCATCTTAAGACCTTTAACTTTCTTAAATATTGGATGTATTGCTAATACTTTTTATCGTATTGCTGACTGGTATGTCGAATAGAAAATAAGTATGTTACTGCAAGCAAATTGTAATATTTATCTACCTAAATTTATGTGAAAACTAGTAATTGGCATTAATTTAGTCATTGTTATATACACTATTGTTCATTTTACCTGTAAGTTTAGTAAATTTAGAAATAAAATGAGATTAAACAGATTCAAATTGATTGTCCAATGAATTAAAATTTTTACTTTTTATAGTTTTTAACAATAAGGTGTCGAGTCGAGAGAAATATCAAGTTTGAGTTACTCTTTAGAGTATAGAAATACATACCTCTTGTTTAGAAATATAAATAGGTTTATTGAAGATTATCCAGACAGCTGTCTCCCAGCAGCCGGGGTGTGTCGTAGAGCCTTCGTACGTCAGGTACTGCTGTGTGTTGGGCAGCAGGGAACTTAGCGGAAGATGTTTTATAGGGAATGAGGCACCTGTCAGAAAAGGCATAAGTTATATGTCTTGTACATTACATTACCTAATAAATTACACTATCCACTGGAGTAAATGTAAAATATTACAATTTGAAACTAACAAAATTCGTAGTACGTCGTAGCCGTAGTTTGCTACGGCGTAGCAACATTGCTACGCGTTAACGCTCATCTGTTTTTGAAAAATAAATAATTATGCAATTTCTTTTATTTATGCGTATTACTATTAACCCTTAGATTGCCACGTCAATCACCAGTGTCTGATGCTAGTAGAAATTTGTCTTTCACCGTTTTAAATTTGACATTTAAAGTGTTAAGTATTTATTTTTTGTGGTTTTATGAAAGAAAGAATGAAAGAAAAAACTTTATTTCACGCCAAGAAACAAGTGAAGTGAAGTTTATAAGGTTTGTTAGTGTACTCACCTCGATAAGTGACTTTGTTGAAAGCACTGGTAATCAATCTAAAATCTGTGTTGATGGGCTCGCCAACCTGAGAGAGAAAACATACAGATAAAAAAATATTATTTTTTTCTCTACCTATCCTTCATTATGTAGGTGGTACTCACCTGTACCATTAGAGAAATGCCGACAATTCCTTGAGACTTATGCTGTGCTTCCGACATGTTGTGGTAAAGTTCTTTATTGAAGCCATACAGTTGAATCTGTGAACAAAAAAGACATGTAATACTCAATACTTTATTGCATTCCATAATGTATGCACTGTCATTGGTTATTTTATTTTTATGGAATAGACGGCAAACGAGCAGGCGGATCACCTGATGGTAAGCGATCAGCGCCGCCCATGGACGGAGGCCACACTAAAAGTTCCTTTTAAAATGGAATACGCTCGTTTCTTTTAGGTTAATAATCTAATATCAATAAGCTAAAGTTATGTTACAAGTCCGTCTAGAAAACCATGTGTTATGTTCTCGTATACTTCTTAAAAAAAAGGAATAAACTGGCAAAATTGTCTAATCAACCAGTTTTAGTAATCATTATATTGTAATTGCCATCACAAAATATTTTATACACCTCCACTTATATTTTTAAAATTAATACCCAATTATATTAAATAGTCACAGAGCTTATTAGCTGAACATTTCTCTCGATCCTGTCCTGTGGGTAGATGCATAACGTACACCACAGATCACACATACGCTTATATTATAAAATACTTACCTTTGTGATATAACGATAGATAAATAAATAATAATAATACGTACCCTATATTATTCTGTCAAAAGAAGCAAATGATAAAATCTTTCAGGTTATAAAAAATAAATTAAGATAGATCCACTTAAATCTCAGTCCTCATCATTACTAAAAGAATTCATTTTGTATCGCGTATTCGGTCAATTTTCCACCATTATCATCATATTAAACGTTGCTAAACCTCAATTATCATTGATTTTAATGAGGCAATAATCCACAATGCCCAGTAACGAGCCCCATTAACAAAATACTGTACCACAAATAAAGTTAAAACAGTCATAATGGCTAAATCAAAAAGTCATTAAGATGAACCACAAAACCTCAACCGCAGAGTTTCAAATAATCAATGCTAGCTAAAATTTTCGTCACTAGCTAGCACCAAACATTTCCATTGATTAAATAGTTGAAATTAATGGCTCGGTTTTGAGTATTCAATTAATATTTCTTGTTATTGTAATTAGGACAAGAGTATTGCAATTTAATGTTATCATTTTAATTATCTGTACTAGTATTTATAGTTGTTGTCATATCAGCAGATGTTTTTATATTTTACATAAAAATATCGACAACAGGGAATTTATATACTTTAACAGTCATAATTATGATTTCTAAGGATGAATCTATTGTGAAACACTAGTAGCAAATTTTGTTATACATTTTTACAAGTTGGTGTGTAAAATACCCCATCTACATCACACTTTTCTGAGTATGGTGTTTTACATAGAATCATAGATCAAAATAGCACTTCATTAATTAATAATATAACATAACATAACATAACATCACGCCTTTTTATCCCCGAAGGGGTAGGCAGAGGTGCACGTTTCGGCACTTAATGCCACTGTACAATGTAACACCCACTTTTCACTATTTATGTTATAAGTCCCATTTAATAGGGGGTGAGCCTATTGCCATATACCGGGCACATTTCCAGACTCCGTGCTACTACTGAGATTTTTAAATACTTTGCCCGACCCGGGAATCCAACCCGAGACCCCTTGCCAGCCAGTCGCACTTGCGACCACTCGGCCAACGAGGCAGTCTTAATAAGTTAAAAGAGCATTAATTAATAAGTTCACTCAAAATACCTTTTTACGAACAGAAAACTGCTAAAATAACAACAAAGTTAAGTCGTGTAGTCATAATCAGGTTGTTCAACCCCTAAACCCATACATTACTTCGATAGTACTAAATAACGATGGCAGTTTACAAATTAACACTTCCAATGCCACTGTTATCGAGCCCTCATTATTAGCCCCTTGGGGTCTCAAAGACCGAACTTTGACCCCTTAAAGTTTGTTGTAATACCCTAATTATTGACTTCCGCGAGTTATAAAATGTAATTGTATGAGTATGTCTTGTAGATATTCCAATCTCGAGAAATTATCAAAATGGTATAGAATAGATAATTTTAATTCAACTTTCTGTTAAAATTATTAATGACTAGTTTTTTGATAGAGAATTGTAAATGTGTCTGTTAACTCGTTGAAAACCATCCCCTAAATTTGTTCATACAAAAGTAGTCTCTAAGCATTGGAAATACGGTCTATAATGTGGAGAGCGGTCACCGGTGACCGCTTGGGGATATATGGGAAGTGAGAAGAATTTTTTATAAACCTCTTGCTTTAAGTTCTTGTTCATGTTTTAAGTTCCTGAAAGTACTACAATTAAATTTGTTTTTTAAAATACTATGATGTCTGTTATTGTCCACCACAAGAGAGAAAAGAAAAAATAAACGTGGAATTATTAGATGTCCACGTACCGCCTTGAAGATAAGTATAAACAGTATTATAGTATGCAGCTCGACTAACTTTATATTGTCACTGCCCGCACTAAATTATGACATTGTTACACGAATCGTCAACTTGAACAGTTCTATTTTATTGTGCCTACATCGCTCTAATATAGTATCATTTCGTGTGCCATGGCTAGGTGAAAATTACTTTTAAAGTATTAAGGAATTTTTTTAAACATACGTAATATATAACCTAAATTTACGAGTATAAGTTAAACTATGTTACAAGTTAAAATTTGCATGCTTTATTTATTAAGCAAAACATAATGATCTATTGTAACTATAACATCTTTGGATATCGTGTTTACGCAAATAAATGTCTTTATGTATATCTTTATCTAAAATATAATATACGAAATTAAATGAAGCAGAAAAAATACCGCCGTCAAAAAGCGATAATTTAAAAACCCTAAAATGATACACATAAATTATGTCAAATATTTCGACATAATAGCTTTAAAACGATCGTATTCAAAGTTAAAGAGCGAACTTCGGTCGTTGGGACCCCTCGAGCTAATAATGAGTGTTCGATAACAGTGGCGTTTTAGTGTTGACTTGTGAATTTATATATTATCTTCTCTGTTATTTTGTGAATGAGTGAACGAACCCATCTATGTTTGTTTTTTTTTCTAGAAATTTACAAAGAAATTAAAAAATAGCGGTATAGTTATTTGTATTGTAACTTTCGTGAGACATACTAAATAAATTCTTATGTTTTCGGCTTACTCACGTAGTAATTCGACGAGGAACTCGACTAGTTTCAAGCCATGCTAGAGGCTCATATTCATGAGCAGCATTTCGCTACACGCGACGCGTTGTATAGTTATTTTTAGGCATTTCGGAGACTACCCATAGATAAATGTTGTAGCATTTTCGATAGATATCGATATTTTAGTACCATTACTAGTATGTAGAGTACAAATCTATTTTAGGTACCATTACCTAAAATAGATTTGAGCTCTACATTTAATAATAGGTCCATATAATGTTTTGATATTCATAGTACTAAGTATTTTACGTGAATTACAAAGAACAATTATGTTGTCTTATTTTGAATAGGTATAAGGATATTTCCTTCTAGATGCAATGTTACTCAAAATCTAGGAAAAAAAATTATAAGTCCCATGTAATAGGGGGCACAATTCCAGACTCCGTGGTACTACTGAGATTTTTTTCAAAACCTAGTAATATTTTGCCCTTGCTGGGAATCGAACCCCATGGCCCCATATCCAGCAGTCGCACTTGCGACACATACCATACCATAAATTACTTGACCCTTAACTGCTTAATAAAAGCAGAATTAATTTGAAATAGAAGACGGCTCAGAAGTTAGCAAGTGGTTGGAATGCGAGTGCATAGTTCCCAGTTTGCGGTCAGGCGGTCGCATAGTTAGACTACCTGACTATTGATAAAGGGGAGTCTATCGAATAGTGAACTTACTTCGAACTGAATTTAGTTCCAGCTAATATTTATAGACGTGGAAGTAACTGTTTTTGTAAATAAGGTTGACGGTCGCGGCAACGTCGCGCTGCTCACACGCACACGCTGCTCATGAGGAAGAACCCCTCTGTGGTTCGAAATTAGTAGAGCTTTTCTCAGTATATTCACGTGAGTAACTCGCGATTTTAGTTAATAAAGTAAGGTTGATTGGTTCTAAATCTTTACACGGTTTCAATTCAATTTGATCTTCTTGATTGTGAATGCAATAGATGAGAGTACAGAGAATGTCGTAAGCTACTACTTTTACATTCGATGGGCTGACGTTCGACCACTATCTCGCCTGGAGGTCACCACTTTCACGCGGGTACAGCTTTTTTGCGGTAGGAAAATCACCCAATGACTTCTCTAGCTCGGATGAGGCGAGTGTCAGACTCTTACTGAATAAAGACCACCCCGTTCCTACTCCTGCACTTCGAACCGGAGCCCCGGCAACCCGTTAAGTTAATTCCTCCGCCGCTCCGTATAGCATTAGTATTTAACTTCCTTAATAGCGATGATGACGCAAGACGCGGTATGAAAACTAAAAATCTATTTAGTCCGTCAGTTAGCTGATCAAAAAATATTAGAAACGTATTTTTTATTTTGTCGTATAAAAAGACCATACTTAGATAAAATGCATCAGTCTAAGAGTGGGAGGTAAAACGTCATTTCTACGTATAAAACGTACATAGAAGTGACGTCACGCGGTATTTTAAATCCACATATCGTCGAAAGTATTTGTTTCTGTAAGAAAATAAAAAATACTTGTCTAATGATTTAAAATAATCTACCAGACGGACATTAAAATAAAAATTCCTCATCTACCTTATACCCAAATCTAATCCAAGAAAAACCGGTAACACACTTGTTATTCCTCGAGTGTTGCGGGTGGCTTTAGATAGTGCCGATTGCTTACCATCAGGTGATCTGCCTGCTCATTTCTCTGCCTATACCATAAAAACTCAATAGGGCTGATGCTGATACGGAACCGCGGAGAACTTAACAGGTTGCCGGGGCTCCGGCTCGAAGCGCAGGAGTAGGAACGGGGTGGTTTTTAGTCAGTAAGAGTCTGACACTCCTTCCCGCCTCACATAGGCGGGAGAAGTCATTCCATGATATTCCCCCCTTAAAGAAATTCCAAAAAATCTACACCTCACCCATTACATTAACCATTCAATATTACTGTACTAACCTACAAATAGAAATTCAATTTAAGCATTTGCAATACAAAGGAATGTAAAGAGAAATGTATTAAAAACCTGCCACAAAGCTGTAATATAAAACATGGTTTAGTTTCCATCGACATAACTATACCTATACAACACCGCTCCATATCAAGTTTATATAACCAGTATAAACTGACCGTTGAGTGTGCGTACAGATCACATAAAGCGAGCTCATGATATACTGGTTATATATAGCTCAATGACTAAAGCTACGAAAAACCAGTATACACTGACCGTTGAATGTACTTATACATCATACGAAGCGAGCTCATGATATACTGGTTATGTATAGCTTGGTCTGTAGTTGTTTGCAAAGGTAATTTTCCGGTACTTACAGCTACATATCAAGTTATGATAACCAGCTTATTAAGGTCTATCTTTGAATAAACTTTCTGCACATTCAAAGGTCAATTTATATTGTATTGGTATAGTTGTGTGTACAATCCAGTATGAAAAAAAGAAAGAAAAAACATATTAAACATGATGCTCCAAATACACAAACAGAATTACTATAAAAATAACAGGAAAAAACAATACAAAAAATTAATAATAAAAAGATCAACAAAGTGGCAACACACCCATAACAAAAAGGATTGCCAACTCAGTATGAACTGGGTACAGTAAGTACCCAACACTGGTTTTCAGTCGGCACCCTTGCAGTGACGCACAGACGTAATAATCAACGAAAAATATTAAAAAAATAAAAGAAAGAGAGGAAAGTTAAAAATAAATATACATACATAAATAATTATATCGTGTACCACCAAAGGAAAACACAAATTAATAAACTATATTTCGATATAAACATAATGTGGGTAGGTGTGTGGTCGTGGACGTACCGAACAGCCCGACAGTATCTGGTTTAGTTATATTTTGAACATTGTTATGAATTTATATCGGGAGGTATATTCTGAAATTATTCCTTCGTTAAGGTTGTTGGACATATTGTTTATTATTTTATTATCTATAATAATGACATCTTGTTTATTAATTTTGACATATTTTGTTCACCAATTGACATAATTTAAACTGTTTGACTTGTGATTTTTAAATTATTATTTTTATTGTTATTCATTTACATTATAATTTTTTTTTCATTCAAACTTTGACATTTGATTTTGCATAATTATTTATTGTAGATTGGTATTATCTGCCTAAAGTAATTGATTTAGTACGCCATCAATGGCAAAACATGTAGACTCTGTACTAACCAAAAAAAAACACCTTCATTGTAATTACTCATGTTTTACTAAATAAATATATCTTTATCTTTAAATAAGGTTGTATGTTTGTAAATTTAATAATACGTATATATTCATGACTTCCGAGAATGCGTGTATAATAATGATGAGGTTTGTAAAGCATATTTACTATTTTGCTATAATGTTAGATCATATTGGGTACATCATATTATCTAACAACGGCTGAAGTGTGGGAGAGCCATACTTCGGCACGCATGGGACGGCTCCACTGGAGTGATACCACGACCTCACAGAAAACCGACGTGAAACAACGCTTGCGTTGTGTTTCGTCGTGTGAGTAAGGTTACAGGAGGCCGATTTACCTCCCCCCTCCCCCGAGTCTCTCCAACCCCTAACCCCACAATCCTCAAATGACCAATTCCCAAAAGGTTGGTAACACACTGGTGTTTTAGGTGTCCATTGGCTTACCATCAGGTGATCCGTCTGCTCGTTTACCGGCTTATAACATAAAACTAACTTATAACTACCTACTTAAAAACTACGGGATTTCGTAAAATAAACTATAGGTCCACAGTTGGCGCAGTTTCTGTTCATGGTTTCTCATAAAATTACGGTAGGTACAAGAATCCGACTTACTTCTCCAGGAAAGGTGTGGTGGTCAATCTGGTGTTCAGATCCTCGGTTGTCTTCCATTCCATAATGGAAGTAAATCTCCTCGAACTGGTAGCGGTAGGAGAGAGGTCCTCCACTGATGTTCACCTGGTGCTTCGAATCCTTCTCCACTCGGAAGACTAGAGACTGTCCTGTGTTTTGCAGAACTCCGCTGACCTAGGGATGAAGAAAGGGAGACTTTAGTATTGTCTTCAACATGCCCGCCCTGTAGTGAAGACAGAGTAGAATTTATCACCCGCCTGAATCTTCTTGTGGGTGTAGGGGATAAACGGAGTGGATATTTGATAGAGACTGGCTAACAGTGCTTTCTTATAAACCTGTATGTTGATCATTGATACTAGGTCCTGTATCCAGTAGAGGAAAGTCCCTTAGCGACGGACGGCACCAAACGCCGGACACTTGTATTATCTCGATAACTGATAACACGAGCGATTCAATTTTTAGAGGAAGTCTCCCAGTGGCAGACACCTCAGATTTTTAGTAAAAATTGAAGCGCTCGTGTTATCAGTTATCGAGATAATACAAGTGTCCGGCGCTTGGTGCCGTCTGGCGTTACAGGACTTCCCCCCCCTTCCCTCACAAGATACATTGACATTGAATGAATACATTGCATACATATGCCCGATGTGAGTACACGCTCTAATGAAATGTGAGTCATAACATAACAAGCCTATAATTTATTGAACACATTTAAATTAAGTAAAATATATGTCGCAGAATCAACAAAGATGCACAACTATCGAGTATCGTTATTTTAGGACAACGCCATCTGTTATCATTTGTCGGAAACGTCAAGCAGTGTGCTTGGGTGATGGTCGGTACGGGGCGTGGCATGTTGACATTTGACAGGCGTCACTTTTAAGTTGGACACGAGGGTGAGCGGTTGTTCTGCCAGCCCGTACCGAACTTACCGCGTTTACGAAGAATCCGATGACGAAGACCCCCAATGGGTGCATTTTCTCCGACATATATATAATCTACTAATACTAATATCAATTACACCAAATCAAGGACAAAGAGACGATCACCTAAGTAATTCAATACCACGAAAATAACCTAATCAAGGTTAAAAAGACACAGCTGATATAGCTAATGGAGGATTCAAAAACTCCAGACTAACACCAAAATAATAATGAACACGAATTGCTATGAATCACATGGCTCCCCATGGGGTGTTTCTATCAATCAATGGGTCGCACCTTGATTAGAACCTGGCAACTTATGCGCTTTGAGTGGAGATGATATATTGCGTGTTGACACGCGAACAACGAAGATCTAAAGATTATGAAAGTGTCTGTTCGATATAATAGTTATTGTAAAACAGATGTTATATTGCTATTTTATGCACGAATAGTCAATTTTCCAATAATAATTGTAATTTCTTCTTCATAAAATCATTGGTAATAGTAAACATGGAATAAAACTGTTAATTGCAATTTTAAATGACTCCGGTACCCTCAGACCTCACTCATAAAATGAAATACATTTTCAAAAGAATAGGTGGAACCTATACTTTTGATGTTGCTGGCGTCTATGGGCAACGCTGCATTGCTACCAGATTATCCGTCTGCTAGTCCTAGCATCATTATCATCGTGTTACAGCCCAGTGAGGTCACCATTGGACTATGGATCTCCTCTACAAAAGGGTTTCGCCCTTATCCCATAAACAAATTCCAACATTCCTTAGCACTTCTATATTTTGTACATTCATTGTAATTTATTTGAGGGAGTGACTTGCCTCGCGGTCGTAGATAATGTTTATGTAAGAGATAGCCACGAACATTTTTCTTTAATAAATTACTTTAAAGACTGTTCTTGATATAAGTTCAAGTAATTTGGGCGCCTACGAGTTTTGTAACAATACGTTTAAGTACCTACTTCAGTAATTCTAGTTAGGCACAACTTTGAATATAAAAAAATCTAGCGTTTTGTTTAATTATGATGCTAGAGTAAGATATATTATATTATGTAGTTCTACTCACTCTGCTCTTTCCGTCGATGTTTTAGGAACTGACAAAGGAATTTCATATTTGACTGAGAGAGAGCTTTTTTAAGATGGAAAATCATCGAATGGCTTCTCCCGCCTGGGTGAGGCGGGACGGAGTGTCAGACTCTCACTGACTAAAAACCACCCCGTTCCTTCTCCTGCACTTCGAGCCGGAGCACCGGTACCTATCCCGTTAAGTTCTCCGCGGCTGAGAGAGACCCTGTAGTGTTCTCGTATAATTCTGCCTTTATTTTTAATTTGACATTCCCTCTTATGTACAAAAGCAGAAGATACATAGTTCAGTTGTGGACTATCATTAATTTATTTATCATTTCATGTACACCATACAGCAGATAATATTACAGAGGACAACACATTAAAAGCATGAGGTAAATAGGTCATTGTCAATGATAATGAAATTCGACGATATATTTTATTTATTCTACTGCTAAAGAACACCTGTAATACCAAGATTATAGATTCATACTTTAAAAGATTGATGATAGAAATTACACTTTTATAGGAGAGAAATTATTTGAAGTTAAAACTAGTATTAGCTTAATAGATGCGTATTATTAACTTCTGATATTAGTTTTAAAGTTAAGAATCATTATTATTTTTCAAGGGCATAATATGTATTATTATATAACGTAATTCGTTTTAGAAGCAAAACTAGATTCTAGATGATAATGTTTCTTATTAATTTATTTTAAACTTATGATGTTTATTTATTTTGGCTCATGTAAGCGTAGTCAAACTCATTGCCATTTACTGCCCACAATTTCATCTCAAAATAGATTTTTTGAAACCAAAATAATATTTGCCATAACTCAAATTCGGACCTAATACCCATAGTACATAAAACGACTTAACCAATAGTTATAAGACAGACAATTCGATAAGACTACTAATAAGAATTTTAGTAATGACCATATTATATTTTCCCTACACATAATTCTTTAATACACTATCGTAGCTTCCATAGGGAAGCTACAACCACACAAAGCCACCCCTAAACGGGCGCAGTGTATGTTGCAAAAACGTGGCCGATAGCCTATCGGGCTATCGCGAGTCGCATACATTAGCATCGCATTGAGCAAGCTTGCAACATACACTGTAATGAATAATTCTGCACGAATGTTACATTTATTGAACATATACCGGCTATGTTGTAAGTAGCCTTTGTATGATATTCTTTTGTTTTTTGGAGTTTTTTAGTTAGCATTTATTATAATCTTCTAAGGGTCCATTTTTCAATCGTCAGTTATTTTTTTAACTGTAGAATTAAATTGTCATTTGACATTTTTTAGTACCTACCTCAATTAAAATGTATATGGCGTTGGATAAATCGGCCGTTGGAGTTGATTTTTCAATACTAAGTTAAATTTTATCAAAGGCATAACTTTAAATATTTGACAATTCTTCCATACTGTTACAGTACATTACAGTTAAGAATTATCTATTGATTAATAAATCGGCACTTATACTGTTTCTGGAATGGGTCACCCATTACTAGTACTACTAGATTCATTCGTTAGTCTTGTTGTCCTGAATTATTTTGCTTATCATGATGAAAGAGCGATAACTAGATTGAGAATATTATTTCTTTGATAACTTCTTCCACCATTTTTCTACCTAATGGTTTCATTTTATCTGTATCAATAAAGATATTTTTTGTTGCTCTGTTGCATCTATGTACAAATACTATATTGGAAATGCTAAAACTACTATTTATCCGAATAAAAATCGGTGAGTATGTAGCGTAGCTAGCCTTATTCCTACAAATTACGTCAAAGGATGGAAGCATTTTTTACTAGTTTTAATGGATATTACATGTTCGTAATTACGAAGGTATCAATTAGGGGTCTACGTACGTGTCCGGACATAGGATGGTGCCTATTTATTATAGGTAACGTAACACTGACAGCTAACAGCCAGTTCTTTGAATTAGTAATTGGATAAATTATTTATTTATTTTGTGATTATTTACACTTTGTTTTTAGTGGCTAAATGTGAGTAGATTGGGGAACAGGGAATTGTTATAAACATAATTATAATTTTGTGATCATAATCTTATATTTTGATCGTAAATATTTATTTTAAAAACATCTTATTCACTTTTTGCACTATTATTTATGAATCCTGTGTTTGATTTCTGAGTACCGTATTAATTGGTGTTTCATTCCTTAAATCTTAGCAGATAGCAGCACAAACCTATTCTGAACGATTGAACCTATTTCGAAGCCGTTCTTATGATCACTATCATACCTAACAGGTGAAAAATGTTTAGCAATAGCGCTTCTGCCTCCCCCTTCCAGATTAAAATATATAATAACATAACACCACGCCTTTTATCCCCGAAGGGATAGGCTGACTGCCTACCTACTACCTATTATAATAATTATTGTATGTGTAAAGGTTCACTGATATTCAGTTGTTTTTATCTTGTAGGCTTATGTTAATGTTCGTTGGAAATCGTATAAAGTTGTAGTGCAGTGTTGTCGCAGGCTTACCATGTTTTTGCATAGGATTACCGTTAAAATGGCCGTCCATATAATGTTACCGGTTTAAGACCTTTCATATTGATTTGTCGCACGTTTTTTGTAAAGTTAAAATATTATTTTGAAAGAGGAAAATCATGGAATTACTTTGTTTTTCAACGTTGCCTCACACTAGGATCTTCTCCTGTGTCGTGGGTGCGTTTATAAACATATAAGTTTATATACTCATGACACCTGTCTGTGGATAACACAAAGAGTTGATCTGGAATTTCGCCGCGATACGTTACGCCACAGCCAGTTGTCTAGGCACCGCACTAACCGCGCCGTGGAGTTGTTGAGAGGGAATGTTAGACTATTGCTGACTACAAACCACCTATGTAACTCCTTGTGCGGCTCGATAGAAGTGAGAGCAGAGTGGCTGCGGGGCGGAGAGGACGCGCAGCGAATGCACCACCAACACACCGCGGCTGCGTAGCGAACACGTCGCGGACGCGTGGCAAATACGATACATTTTCGTCGCATATTTGTAGCCAATTATCGTCGTACTTTAATGTTCGTGGCGATACCGTTGCGCGTCCGCAACGCTCGCTGCGTATACGCGGCGTGTTCGTTGTGTGTCAGTAGATAATTCGTTGCGCACCCGCTCCGCTTTGAAGACGCTCACTATCCGCTAGTAGTTATGATAAGGCCTAGATATTTGTCGTATCCTTAGGATTTTTTTAGAGATCTCTCTTAGTGATCTTCTGTATTCTTTAAGAAGACTATATCTTCTACCTGCTGAGAGTATTGTTTACTTCGTTACTCCATTCACTCCTTAGAAGAATAGCTAGTTTAATTCACTTTTTTCGTAAATTGTTTATAAAACTAAGTAGACATCATAACATAACTTCACGCCTTTTATTCCCGAAGGAGTAAGCAGAGGTGCACATTACGGCACTTAATGCCACTGTACAATGTTACACCCACTTTTCACTATTTATGTTACGAGTCCCATATGGAGGTGGGAACCTATTGCCATATGTATATATACCGGGCACATTTGCAGACTCTGCAGGCGGGCTACTACTAAGATTTTTTTGAAAAATCCCAGCAATATACTACCCGATTCGGAAATCGAACCCAATACCCGTCCAGCAGTCGCACTTGCGACCACTCGGCCAATGAGACAGTCAAAATTAAGTTTACAAACATATACTACTACAAATCAATATCTTAACATACCTTTACATGGTAAAGTAGTTGTTCTCTATCAAAATCCAGCTCATCATACTCGTATGTAGTGAACTTAACATGTTCATAATGGTAAATTTGTAACCGCGTTGTACCTTCGTGAACATTGGTTTTAAACATACACAAATACAATGTAGGTACTTGTACTTAATAGGTTAATATCCATAATGTAATACAGAAAGTATGTAAATAAAGTCAGTTAACTGCTGCTAGTTGGTGAAAAATCTAAATTGGTAAGCAAAGCTGATGTTTTTTCTTGTATATTGGTATAATAGATGTAAATAGATTGCCTTGTCAAGTTTTTTTAGAGTAACTGAATCCATTGCCTCATTGGCCAAGTGGTCGCAAGTGCGATTGCCAGGCAAGGGGTCTCGGGTTCGATTCCCGGGAATCGGGAAAAGTATTAATGGGTTTTTAAAAAGCTCAATACTAGCACGGAGTCTGGAAACGTGCCCAGTATATGGCAATAGGCTCACCCCCTATTACATGGGACTCATAACATAAATAGTGAAAAGTGGGTGTTACATTGTACGCATTAATTGCCGTAATGTACACCTCTGCCTATCCCTTCGGGGATAAGAGGCGTGATATTATGATGATGATGATGATGATGATGATGATGATGATAACAGAATCCAAAATGGTACTTAAAGCTACAAACCTTGTGTTTATCAAACTGTATGTCCCTCAGCCAGGGGTCGAACAGCAACTTGTCTGGTTCTATATTGACTGGGGACTGTCGCCGACCTTTGTTGCACATACTCCATTGTGGGTTTATCAGACCCCAGAATCCTGGACCTGTGAAGAAAAAAAGGACTATTTATTAAACTGTCAAACACCAAGCAGTCACCGGTGACCGCAACCTATTGTTCTATAATTGTGTCTACAAAACCGGTACTCGACGAGTTAAATACTCCAAGCAACATATGAAACACAAGTTATCAAAGGATATATTTAAATAGCTAATGCCCTAAACGCCACTCAAATTTAAGTCGCGGTCAAGTATAGTTCTGGGCCCACAAATTTCTTTATAAAATAATAAAGAAGGCACGATAGAGTAGCCTTTCGATGTAAGTACTTGATGCAAATACTTTTTTTAATCAACTACTAGACTCACAAAACGACGACCCGCCAGCCATGTGGGGGTGATTGTCAAGCAAGAACTCTCATGAGCAGTTGGCAATATTTAAGATAGTTTGATATTTGATAACACAACGCTTTTGTTATATTTCGTCATGTGAGGGAAGTTATCAGATGACCAATTACCCCTCTCCCCCCTTCCCCAATCTCCCCAATCCCTGAATCCCCAACAAGCCTCAAATTCCTAATCCCCAAAAGGCCGGTAACGCACTTGTAAACGGCTCTGATGTTCCAGGTATCCATGGGCGACACCGATTACTTACTATGATCCGCGTCTGCTCTTTTACCGACTTATCCAATAAAAAAAGCATGTTAAAATAGCATAGTATTTAAAGTGAATACGGGTGTCTTATCTATGGGTATACGATCCCTTAAAAACACCCATACTATGGAAAAACGAGTAATTTTTTATGTGTTTTATTTATTCATAGCCAATCCTAAAGGTGCAGCCGTAAAACAAAATTGCACTATTTTATTGTTTGTTTCACTTTTATTACTGTTAAATCGACGTTAAACTTTTCAATTCTTACTTTTACAATACATAAAATATTGCAATAACTCTATCAGATATAGGTATGTACACAAAAAATGTCGTAACATTAAAATCTTTTATTATTTCCCAAAATTTAAAAGAATATGGAGTTCACCTATGTTTAAAGATTACCCCCATACTATATCTTCTGTATCACGAGAGCATTTATAAATAAACCCATAACATTTAAACCAGGAACAAAGGTTTATTGATCACGCAAAGAACTGTTCCATACAAGAATCTAACTTGAAACTCGCTGTTTTTAAGGGGGGAAAATCATTGAATGGCTTCTCCTGTCCGGGTGAGGTGATAGGGAGTGTCAGCCTCTTACTAAAAACCACCCCGATCCTACTCCTGCACTTCGAGCCGGAGCCCCGGTAAGCTTTTACGTTCTCCAGCCCCGCGGCTCCGTATCAACATCAGCCTTATTGAACCCCATCCATGGTAGTCTGATGGCTCTATGAGGCGCGCGCGGAACGCGATGCGTGGCACGCTAGGGGCCCTACAACACATTACGCAGCAACCGATGTTGCGCCGACTTGCCAACCATAATTAGTCAAAAACTCTATTAGTTTGCATTCACATAAACCTTGTTTTTAAATACTACTGATAACCTTGAACACCATAAACTAACAGTAGATTATATCCATCTGAAAAAAAATTAAATACCCCCGATAACCTTCACTGACACTATCAGTTCGTCGATTGTATATTTGTGAACAAAAAATACACAAAGTAAACTAATAAAAATACATCTACCATCATTTGAAATTGCTATCGTCTATTGATATGGCAGTTAAGATGCTATCGCGACCATAACATTCACTTGCCATCGCATTTATGACACTCCATACGTAATTAAGGCTATAGATTTTTTTATGACACTCTTTAATGCATAGATTAAAAATATTTTTTAATGTTCACGGATATAATTACAAGTCTATCTTAATTGTGATGATCGACAATGTTCTTTTGACAATTTCAAATATAGTACTTAGCCTTAAGTTTTTTAACAAAGTAAATCAACTTTTTTTGGAGGCGCTAAGCGAAACACAGAAGAATAAGATTTTGTCAAACACATTACTCAATTTTAAGTGTCAGCATTCGGGTATTATTTGTGTTTAAACCAGCTTATAACCAGTAGCTTTAAGGTTACCACTTATTTATTATTTCTTAAAAATACATTAAAAAATCTTATATTTGATCGGTTATCAGTAAGTTGCTTTGTAGCCTAATTTCTAATAATAATATATATAATAAATGAAAAATAAAGCCTAAACCAATTTCCGCTTAAACACCCCATTAATGAAGCACTAAAACCCTAGAAATTCACTACACAAATCAAATCAAATTCAAATTACATACATTTCAGAAGAGATTAGTAATAAATGTGATGATGAAACCAAAATTGCGTAAAGCGTTATTCAAATGGAAGTCTATTCAACCCTGTAATAAACCGCGATATCATTCAATGGGGTCACGGGGACCGCAAAATTTGGTCACCATAGTGTATTGAGTCGTAGGTAATGCGTAGTGAAGGGTTTACGCTGCTACGCTGTATTGGGTGTCATTAGCATAGACCAGATTTTGCCTATAGGAGGAATAGGGATGATGACAGGATATGAAAATTAAAAATATAATTAGTCCATAAGTTAGGTAATGAAAAAAAGTTGGGTATTTTTTTTATTTTGTCGTATATAACAATACTTAGATAAAACGAATCAAAGTTTAGGAGTAGTGGCTAAAACATTATTTCTACGTATAAAATGTACATAGAAGTGACGTCACGCGACATTTCAAATCAATATATCGTCAAAAGTATTTGTTTCTATAAGAAAATAAAAAATATGTGTCTAATGATTTAAAATAATCTACCAGACGGACATTAAAATAAAAATAAGGCATCTACCCTATTGTCTGCAGTTTTTAACTGACTTCTCAAAAAGGAGGAGGTAGGTTTAGGAGCACCAAATTCTTAACTTTTAGTGGGTGTCGAATTATTGTTACAATTTTTGATGATAATGACAATGAACAAAATATGTTGATTTTTTAAAACGAAATTTTTTTTAATGGGACATGCCCGCCACATCCTCCCAAAACCGCTGCAACTCCTGTAAGTCAGGATCAGTAGATACAACCATGAAAACACCGGAACACTGAAGTCCGGCGCGTCCTAGGGACATGAGTAACTGTCTTGGTTCCCGCAACGAAGTGAATCAGAAGATATTATAAGAGGAGATGAAGAAAAAACGATAGTTTTCACTTCTCTCGGTGAATTACTGCAGGAGACAGAATGAATTAAGCCTAAAGGCACAAAGAAGAGACTGTACAACTGGGTGAAGCCCAGTCACCAAGCATCACGGAAATTTGACTAAAAACTAAGTGGGTCCTATGTGTAAAACGAAGTTTATGAAACGGTTGATTGAGCTGTCAAGGTTGGTGGGAATTTATATGCATTTTGAGTAATGAGGATATCTAGATATCGAGTGGTTGGAAGTGCTACTGTCAGTATAGGAAAGGTTTCTTTACCAGTCTTACACGAATCAAAGCAAAAAAACTTTTTGTCATTCCAATTAAATATAAATAAACTAAACAAGTTATTTTACCCACAATAGAATACAGTAGTAATCCTACCAAAAACCACAGAAAACATAAAAAGAAATCTCCAAATTCCATTGTAAGTAGGTACGTTCAAATTTCGGGTCGGTCGAACATCGACTATCCGATATAATGACATGGTTGAGCGCGCATTATCATTAAGATACTATCTATGATCATTACCGTCCCCATTATATGGATGTATGGTAGTATGACCCCGATATACGTGTCATTGAGACTGTGTAGCTGTGATTCTACCTGTGATGTAATAGACCTGACCTTTTCGTCCTTTTCCTATTGAGGTCATTTTGGATACTTCAAAAGATTGATTAAAAAGAAGTTATTTTTAATCAGTGTTATTGGAAATGTGTGAAATGATAGAAATCTGGTGGTGCCGGGCAAGGGGTCTCGGGTTCGATTCCCGGGTAGGGCAAAAAATTTCTGAGCTTTTTTAAAAAAAAGTCTGCATAGTAGCATGCTGTCCGGAATTGTGCCCTCACCCCCTATTACATGAGACTATGGGAGTCATAACATAAATAGTGAAAAGTGAGTGTTACATTGTACAGTGGCATTAAGTGCCGTAATGTGCACCACTATGATTAATTCCAGGATGCCAACTGATGATAATAATATATAAATATACTCAATATGAACTTATTTTATGTTTATTGTAACATTCATAGCACAGTATAGTTCAAAACATATTATTGTGTATGTGAATTTTAAATATTTCGTTAGACATTGTAACAATCTGATAATAATTGGCTATTGAACAGAAATATGTCAAATTAGTAGCTAATGATATCGGTATAATAGCGGTCTGTGAGTATTTTATCTGATCGTACGTGGATAGTTCCAAAATGTATTGTTTTAAATAAATCGATAGACCATTTTTATAATTGGTGTCCAATATTACTTCCTTGTTGGTTTGGTTATATATTATACTAGCGACCCGCCCCGGCTTCGCACGGGTGCAATATGCATGTATTATACATACAAACCTTCCTTAAGAATCACTCTATATATTAAAAAAAACCGCATCAAAATCCGTTGCGTAGTTTTAAAGATCTAAGCATACATACGGACATACAGCGAAAGCGACTTTGTTTTATACTATGTATTGATAATAATTGACTTCTATCTATGAAAGAATGCCATTATTTTATTTAGACAGACATGTCTTGCTTGCGTTTAATTATAGTATTAAGGTTCTCCCTCACTGGGAGCATTCGCGTGTAATGTAACATAATAGATTCGACTTTGAGCATTACATTACATTAATACCTCCCTGACTAACGAGCATTCGCGTGTAATGTAACATACAGATTCGATTTGAGCATTTCATAGCAAGATGTCAGACATTGATGTTACAAGTTGTATCAAGATATTACACATTGTATCATTACAAGGTTCGCATTGTAAGGCTCGGTTCTCCTCCTTCACTGATGTAATGCTCAGATCTGTAACGTTACATTACACGCGAATGCTCCCGGTGAGGATAGGTTTAGAATTCATGTAGACTGAAATGTCAGCTAACGCCTAATACTGAAAGACTACTCAATTTAAAGTCGCGCTTAAGTATAGTTCTGTCACTACAAATTCCTTGTATAGGTCAGAGATGGCACGATATTTAAGTACAACTTCAAATTGAGTTTTTTTTAAGAGGGGAAAATCATCGAATGACTGCTCCCGCCTGGGTGAGGCGGGAGGGAGTGTCAGACTCTTACTGACTAAAAACCACCCCGTTCCTTCTCCTGCGCTTCGAGCCTGAGCCCCAGTAACCCGTTAGGTTCTCCGCAACAGTATTCGGGTGTAAGACAGCTAAACATTACTTAATCTAAAGATACAATTATTAGTTATGTGTTATTTTAATCACGTACCAGATATACCGTCATACGTCCACCATTCTTCCCAGCTACCGGATATATCTGAAACAAAAGCATTATTGTAAATTCAAATTAAACATTCTATTGTTATATCATAACACTACAGTTAACCAATTATGATTAAAAGTAGCAACAAAAAAAATTAAGTTAAAAAGAATGCCTACTTTTAGGAAAAAGGAGGTTTTTAATAACTATCATGAGACATACTAAATTAACTAAAAATCGCGGGTTATTCACGTGAATATACTGAAAAAAGCTCTACTTCTCAGTATATTCACTCGAGCAAACCACGATTTTTAGTTAAAAGGTGGTTTTTTTGTTAACATTAATCTTTATATATATAATTCTTCTGTGAGTGTGTATGTCACCGAACTTCTCTCAAACGACTGGACTGATTTAGATGAAATTTTTTGTGTGTGTTCAAGGGGATCTGGGAATGGCTAGATTCACAAATCAGCCCGGCAGATGGCGCTGCAGTCGATGTCTAGGTTGGTTATCCTAAACGGCTAAAATAATTTGAATGAATTTTTGTTCATACATTCAAGTGGATATGCAGGACAACGTCTGTTGGGTCCGCTAGTCTATCCATAATAACCCTGATACTCCCCTGATGGTTATACAGACACGGGTTTAATTCTGAACTATAAACAGTAGCAACTATGAATTGTTACTAGGGACCCATAGCCCTGTGGCTACTAACGCCAGCGGTAGCTTCCGTTCCGTATTCGAAGCAAGTTTGTGCAAACGGGAGGCAATGCTAACGTTTGTTTACGAATGGTTTAGATTACTGCTAACTCGCAATATGTACCTATTAGAAAAACAGTTGTTTCCTAAAATGTATTACGAGATGAGTAAGAACTACATAGAGGTACATAGTAGGAACAACAACAGAGGTTTCAAATGATCCTTTATGTGGAACCTCTGCTAAAACAGTCAAAATTCTTAATTTTATTGTAAGGGTGTGTCCACATCTGTGTAGTATGCCGCGAATGTGCCGCGAATGTTCCGCCCGCGAGCCGTTTGCGAGCTGCGCGCATGTAGTAACGGCAATCGTTTGGTGCTCAATTCATACTAGGTTCGTATAAATAATAATTTAATTTGCACGCGCGCAGCTCCCGAGCTGTACACTCGTGGAGCATTCAGCATTCAGATGTGGACGCACCCTAAGACTAAGTCGGCTATATAACTATTTCATCGAAATTAACGCGCACGTAGTCATAACAAAAATATAGTTCCTCTGTGGGTAATAAGAAATGACAGAAAATAACAATTGTTTCTAGATTAATCTTCTAAAAAAACGATATTTATAAAGGGTCTGAATCATGCCAATTTATTTTCGTAATTTTAATGATATAAAAATAGAATTACCTTTGACGGAGACGCATAGGAGGACGAGTATGAAGAGCGAACATTGGTGCATCGTGTTGATGCGTCGGGTCACAATGGACCGCTCATCTGGCTGATACTACTTCTGAAACAAAAGAAATACTATATTTTAAAACGAACTTGGGTTTATACGCCTTATATATATTATTTTAGTTTTGAAATCAAGTTGCCAATTCTAGCATATGTTCATTTAAGTATTTGAACCACAGAGGGGTTCTTACTCATGAGCAGCGTGCTGCGCAGCTCACTGAGTACTTTAGTATGTCTCACGATAGTTATTATAAAAACATATGTTCCTTTGTTAGGTTCGTTTCTAAAATGCATTTACAACACATCCAGACCCAGAATAACAATAGGGTATTATCCCTGGAAGATTATTTCTTAACATTAGACACGTATTTTTTCTTTTCTTACAAAATTCAATACTTTCGACGATATTTTGATTTGAAATACCGTGTGACGTCACGATTTACTACATTTTATAGGGTAGCGTGACGTAGCTGCCTCCCACTCCTAAACTTAACTCCGTTTCATCTAAGAATTGTTTTCTTATACGACAAAATAAATATTATGACGTGTCTAATATTTTTTCATTATCTAACTGACGAGCTAATTACCTACGTTTTTAACTTTCATACACTGTCTACTATCCTATTTGTCGTTTTACTAATTTTAGTAAAAATAATAAAGTTTATTAACATAAGGTTCAAATTAAATCGCAACGCCTGAGGAAAGTATTGAGTTTTCAGAACTAGGGTCGTGGCCAGCGTTGTAGTTAAAGCGCAATCAATACGGTTGCGGTAGCAGGAGTAGGAACAGAATGGTTTTTCGTTAGTAAGAGTCTGACAATCCCTCTTGAGTCACCTAGAGTGGAAAAAGTAGGAGCACATCATTAGCAAGTATACTTTTTATAGCGTAAGCCGGTAAACGAGCATACGGATCACCTGATGGTAAGCAATCGGCACCGCCCATGCCCATGGACTACCAAAATACCAAGGCGTTACAAGTGCGTTACCGGCCAAAATAAAATATACCACTATCAAATTCTTTTGAGACCAAAAAGCCTTATGTAACATTCGTTTACTAAAAAATGTAACATTCTTTCTTCTTTGGAAATAACAAAACAATGCACTCGTATTTTTGTTGTTGTCAAAACAAATAATACTCTAGCGCCACATGACAAAAAGATTAATTTAGTTTGCATGTGTAAAGTTCATTAACACTGCCACTGTATATTTGTCTTGTTAATAGCAACAGTTCATTGCTAATTAGGTTTCTTGTGACGAACATTTTGTTTTCAAATAGTATTTATTTAAAAAGGTTGAGTTTAATTTAACTGTTGAACTGAAAAATGATCATCATCATCGTTATATCAGCCATAGGACGTTCTCTGCTGAATATAGGCCTCCCTCAATGACTTCCAGATGGATGCAGGTCGCATCCAATTGAAAAATAGATGTCAATATACTCTATCTCGATTTTTGAAACATTTTCATCAATATTTTGACTAAAATGGATCCTGAAGTTGTGACTGATATTTGGCTATAAGTTCATCCCTTAACGTAAAGAAATGATCTCCAGATTTGCCAGCCAGAGGACCAAAGCTCTTAAGTAGAGGTGTCCTATGCTCCACTAGTTCATAGACTGACTTAGGCCATTGACAAAATTAATACATTTTTTAGAGAACAGAGAGTTCCCTAAGATCGGAAAAGGAGGATCTTCCGACCAGGCGAGGTGATCTTGCCTGGTGGGCTTTCTGCCCAACAGTTGTTCTTTGGGATTTTCTGACATAACATCTCGCTTTTTACCCCCGAAGGGGAGGCAGAGGTGCACATTATGCCATTGTACAATGTAACACTCACTTTTCACGATGTATGTTATGAGTCCCATGTAATAGGGGGTGAGCCTATTATTGCCATACACCGGGCATAGTTCCAGACTCCGTGCTACCACTGAGAGTTTTTTAAAAACCCAGTAATACTTTGCCCGACCCGGGGATCGAACCCGAGGCCACTTGCTCGGCAGTCGAACTTGCGACCACTCGACCGATAAGGCAGTCATGGGATTTTCTATCCGTATTAATTCGCATGTAAACTTCGCATGTGCGATGTAGGATTTTGTGACGTCATCCGTTGATTTGTGACATGTATCGCCACAATTCCAAAAAACAATCACAGATAGAACTAATGGTGATTGTTTCTGTTATAACAAATCCTAAAATCCTCAGTTAGCCGGCGGATTCATTTGGGATGCTGTACTTATCTCGTCTCGTTTAAAAAGACAACATCTTAGGAAATTACCCTTTTTATCTTAACTTTGGTGGCTTATAGATAAGGATGTATCTCTCATTCTCTTACTAATTAACATTGAACTCATTGCTTTGGTATTATCTTTATTTGTTTCTTCTGCTATCTTAGTATTTGTGTTTTATAATGTCATGCTTCGTCTGGGGTATGGAAAAATTAACTTTAATTCTATCATTATTTTATTCTTAAGGACTTCGTCAATAATTATATTAATACAAAAATGTTCGAAATAAAAAACGATCGATAGATAAAAATATATTAATACTTCGTAATATTCAGGAGAGCAAAAAAGAACAATTTTAAAAAAATATGATTCGGCTTCTTAATGATAAAACAAATAATTAAAATCGCGGTTTACTGACGTGAATATACTGAGAAAAAGCTCTACTAGTTTCGAACCACAGAGGGGTTCTTCCTCATGAGCAGCGTGCGCGGTCGCCGCGACCGCGAGCTTTTCTCAGTATATTCACTTGAGTAACCCGCGCTTTTAATTAATTTTTTGTCATTAATAATCCGAATCATATAAAGCTCTTCTAGAATATTACGAAGTATTAACATATTTTTATCTACCGATCGTTTTTTATTTCGAATATTTTTGTAATTGCATAACAATTGACAAACAATTAATGACGAAGTCCTCTCATGATAGATATTATAAAGACAACAAAATTGTTTAATAATATGTTACTGTGAATTTACAGTCGCTTTTTAAATTTATTGAAGAAATCGTGGACAATTTATTGTCTGCCAACTACCAACAACAAACACCCCATCAAAATATCAGAACAAAACCACCCATATTTCAATAAAACCACTTTCGAAAAACTTTTTATCAAAACCACAATCAATTTGTTAAACAACTCAACACGAGTCCAATATAGACTTGAAACGCAAAACCTCCATTCATCCTACTTATCAACAAACTGATGATAAACTTAACGGCAAATCTTCAAGCCTGAAGGTTGCAATCTTGAGTCGTTAGCCCCGCCCACTTCCGGTGTAACCACGATAGGATCTACATCCGGTGTAAGAGATTCACCCTTTAACGAGCCTCGCTATCATTTGAATCCATTTGTGTAGTACACAGTAATAATATTGTTATGTTGACTGATACCTAATAATAGCATAGCTATATAAGGCTTTATTGAAACTCCTTTTTACCAAGTTCAAAAAAAAAGGATCAGCCGAACATAGTGGGGTTACTACCACTATGTTCAGCTGATTGTTGGCGCCGACTTCTAACCTCAGTGGGTGGGTAACCTATCAGTACTAATAATAGGTATTTTTTTTCTTATAAGTTTTGAATTTTTGTTTGTTATTAGTTTTTTGAAGTCTTTTTTTTAATTAACTTTTATTATCATTTTCAAAATTCCCACTGGCGACTATAACTTGTGACCTATTGTATTGTGGTATTTAGCATTATATTACGAATTCTTTTTTATTGGTCGGCCACTATCTCGCCTGTTGGTAAGCGATGATGCGGTCTACAGTGGAGCACGTCTGCCCATAATCAACCTATTCACCTATAAGCATATATTTGTCATCACCACAAATCTTGCTGTGGGTTTTCAGATACCTTTGGGGTACTGTCTATTAAATAGATCTGGCACCGGGAGGCCCTTTTATATCTACTGAGGGTTGGTGCTCCTTTTTTTTTTGAGGGGGGAAAATCATCCATTGACTTCTCCCGCCCGGGTGAGGCGAGAGGGAGTGTATTCCGATTTCTGCATGTCTTAGGGTCGAATTTTCAATCATCAGTTAGTTCTTAACTGAAGAATAAAATTGATATTTGACAGTATTTAGTATGGAAGAATTGTCCAATGTTCAAATTATTTCCTTAATTAAAATTTATCTGGTGTTGGAAAAGTCGACCCTTAGTGTTGAATTTTCAATCATCATAAATTGGTTCATACAAAAGTAGTCTCTAAATATCGGAAATAAAGTCTATATATAATGTAGTTAGTGAAGAGCGGTCACCGGTGACCGCTGTAGAATAAAATTTACAGTTGACAGTTATGTGACAGTTGTTAGTATGGAAGAATTGTCAAATATTTAAAGTAATTCCTCAGTTCAAATATATCTAAGCATTTTAAAATTGGCCCTTAGAAGTTTTATAGTTAGGCCGCTGTATAGCAATAGGTTGTCCCTTTATTTCAATGGCCTAATGAACTTTTTAAAAGTGGATATTATATTGGAGAGAAATATTTCATTTTATACAATATTGGGTGGGACCCAATCTGCCATCAAAATAGCTGTTCATAATTAGAGAGAATGGAATGTCCATCACATAATGACTATGTAACACAAAATAAAGGACTGCACATAAGCATTAGTGGGCCAATGAGAATCATTGAATTTTGACCCTTATTACCAAGTAGTAAGGTTGTTTGTGTAATTTAACTGACTAAATACCGACACAGTAATGTAGGTGCAAAATGTATTTGTTTTATAGTGGCAATATTTGGGCAAAGTTAAAACAATAATGCCAGTTTTCACCAATCCATATTGAACTTTAGGGAACCCCTAAACTAAGATAGGTGAAACATTTAAGTGACATCTAACAGTACAGATAAGTCTCACGCTAAGTAACTCTTAGTTAAGAAATGGTTAAGGGTGGTGGAAGAATGAAAAAAAATATACAGCCACAACGGAGAAAACTTTTAATCACAAGCTTTGAAATTCAAAAGGCTGAGTTCTGAACCAATGTATTGAAACAGCTGAACATTATTTGAGTATTTACAGTAAAATAAACAAAAGTTGAGACATGAAAAGAAATGTT